CGAATACACTGTCCTCTTGATCCACTTTTATTAAGATAAAGTGCAAATATTTCTCCGCCCATGTTCACTCATTTCTTGTACACAACACTAGTAACAAGGAGAACAAACATTATTCCTGTGTAAGTTAGAAAATAAAAGTAATATAGGTGTTTAGGCCAAATCTTAACATTTAAAACTTGCATTCAAAACGCTCGTCTCGGTCGCCTGACGTATGGGCGAGCAACCGATTTTGATGGCTTGGGCCGTCTTGCCCGCGGCGCCCGTGTCGACTAGTCTGCAAATTACGCTCGAATTGTTAGGTCGCGTGACGACCGCCTCTTATTGCGTTGTCTTTTTCGTGCGTTTACGTGACAACGAGGCTCTTCTTGAGTTTGAGTGATTAACTTAACTTCGATTGCCATTAATTTGCGTCGTCGAGTTGCTTGTGTGGCATTTTAATATCGTACGAAGACATTTTTCCTTTGTCGGTAGAACGCTAAAAATTTGTGACCCGAGAGGAGATCGCGTTCGTCTTCGATTATATTACATTAATTTTGTGCTAGGTGATTATAGTAATTTTGTGCTAAGTGATCTTAGACTTGAGTTTACATAAAGGTGAACGCCCTACCAAGTGCTCGCACATCTTTGGGAGCAGAGAAGCGCATGTGGGTCTGCTGTCCGATTACATCGGTGACGTCAGGTTACATTTACACACTTCCGCACACCACTTACATACCACCAACTTAACCCCTGACTGTACCTTATGGTCGACCCTACATTACATTACATACATTACATAATAATTATCCATAGGCCATTTGGGCCCGAACCCTCTGGTAGCTCGTCGAGTGGACTACTCAAGGGCCCTAATCCAGTCGACTTCTGTCGGGGCAACTGAGGGCCGTAACATTGTTGGTAGCAGAGCGTGGTTACGCCCGGCAGAAATATAAAAAAAATCTTTTGGTTTTTGTTTTCTTTTGTTTTGTTAGCGGATCGGTGGTTAGAACCACGCCCGTTAGGCTGCGCAAGCAGGAGTGTAGTTTAGGGTTAGGTACCTACGCGTCAGGTATTTTTTTATTTTTTTTATTTTTTTTTTATAGAATAAGGGTGACAAACGAGCACACAGTCCACCTGATGGTAAGTGGTTGCTGCGGCCCATAGACATCTACATCTATCCTCTATTACAAATCAAAATGTAGATGCGTTGTCACCCGTGAGGACTAAGATGGAATGCCTCATTTCCAGTAAAAAGGGCCTCCGGCCATCTGCACTTACCAAGCGAAACGCAGAGGTAAATCTCTACTTCACGCTGGTTTTCTGTGAGGTCGTGGTACTACCCCGGTTCGAGCCGGCCCATCCGTACGACAGCAGAAGCTGCCGCGTGGCTCTACCACTGTTCTATTTCGGGTAGGTAGATTAATTATCGTTATCGTATAATCGTATAATTATCGTTATCGTATAATTATAGTAGATATTAATTACCGAAGGGTCGGTCGCCTGAGCGAGGCATCTTTGCTTACCGACTGTGATGTGTACTTGCCGTGTAGTGTAATTTGTATTTAATTTAATTTAATAAATAGTAATTTGTATTTAGTAGTGATGCCATCGCAAAAGTCACCAGCGCTTCGCCTGCAGGCGGAGCTGCGCTGGGCCGCGAATGCCCATACTTTGATAGGGCGACCCGATCGGGTCCATAGTTTAGAGAAGCGGCTCGAGCAGGTCGCGGCCCGAAAGGCCGTAGTGGAGGCTTACACTGAGCTCGTGGCCTGTAATTCGTTGAGGCGGCTGGATTTACCGGTGGACGAATGGTCCTTCTTGTTGCTCCACATCGTGCTGTCCCGCCTGCCTCTCGATCTTCGGATCCATTTTGAGGAGAGGTACGGCGGGGACGGCGCCTCCTATATTCCGCCCTTCAGGGACCTGCTGCGGTTCTTGGAGGAGCAGTACCGGCAAATTGAGAACGCAGCGGGCACCGCCGACGACCTACGGGTTGCCAACCGCGCCGTGCCCAGGGAGAGGCGGAATCCGCCGGGCAAGTCGTCGCCAACCCCCCTAAGGCCGAGCGGAGCTCCCGCGGGAGGGCTCCGCCCCCTACCATCTTATAGCGGCCTAGCGGCCAGGAAGGCGCCCCCCTGCCCTCCTATTGTCGAGCATCCGATCACCGGGTGAGGTCGTGCCAGAAGTTATTGGGTAAGCAGATCCCGGCGAGGCGAACTATCGCCAAGGAGCGCCGCTGGTGCTACTCTTGCTTGGAAAGGCACCTCCAACGAGACTGCCCGCACCAGCGGCTCTGTCCGCACTGCCAGGGCATCCACCAAGCCTTTTTGTGCCTGGGTGCGAACGACGCTTCCTCTCGGGGCTCTGTCGGGCCGTCAACTCCTACGGGCGGGGGCACTCAGCCACGCCCTCTGTCGGGTGACGCTCGACGCTCGCCTGCCGGCCACCGTGCCCCAGGTTTTGAAGGGAGTCCCTCCCCCGACCAGTCGTTCCCTCAGGGGCGGGGGGTCGTCGCCCCCCCTCAGCGTGTTGAGAAGAACTTCACGGCCACTCAGCGGTCAGCTAGACTCTTCTCACCCCCGTTCGCTGAGCGGCCGCGACTGGAGTACCGCCCTCCCCCCCTTTGGTCGGTACCGGTACTACAGGGTTCCTGCGACCACGAATCTGTCCCGGGCCTCAAGGCCGAGGTTCCCCGAAGCTCCTCAGGTCGGCCCGTTCGGTGATTTCCAACCACGGGTCATTGGGATGCCGCCGAAATGCCGCTTTCGGGTCCCCCGGTTCGAGTTCCGGTCCGATGGAGGCAGCTCCATCTAGGTAGCTGCCACCCTAGCTCCCACCACGGCCGCCTCCACTGACCCTCTGAGCCGTCAACAGTCCACTTGTCAAACTGTTCTATTGCCGACGGCCTCAGTGAAGGTGTACAACCTGTGTGGCGACTGTTTAACGGTTCGCGCTCTATTGGATTCGGGTTCCACTTGGTTAGTGGGAAGACTAGGGCTCCCCTGGAGCTCTGAATCACGTCCAATGATAGGTATCGGAGGTACCGAGCCTCCTGCTCCTAGGGGACAAGCGGAGTTGGTGTTTGGCCCTGCCAGCGAACACCTTCACATTCTAGTTAAAGTAAATGTCCTCGAAGACATTGTAGGTTTTCTCCCTAAGGACGGCGCCTTTGTTCGGTTGCTGGTAACTCACCATCATGTTAAGAATGCCCACGCTGGGTGTAACGCTCTTAAGGCTATTTTGCAGCGGGAGTTTTGGATTTTGGCTGGCCGACGCACCATTCGTAGCGTCCTCTTTAAGTGCATACCTTGTTATAAATTGAAGGCCACCATATCGCAGCCTATGATGGGTGACTTACCACCCGACCGCGTCAGGGCCATCCGACCATTCGCTGGAGTCGGAACAGACTTTGCTGGCTCCTTCCTCGTCAAGTCCTCCAACCTTCGTAACGCGCGTTCACATAAGGCCTATCTGTGCGTTTTCGTGTGCCTCGCCACTAAGGCCGTTCACTTAGAACTTGTAAGTACCCTCAGCACTGAAGCCTTTGTGGCCACGCTGGGCCGCTTCGTATCGCGTCGCGGTTTGGCGGACCTGATCCGGTCTGATTGCGGAACGAATTATAGGGGCACGGATAGATATTTGAAAGAGGTCGTCGAATTTCTGTCCAGCAACAGGACTTATTTAGGTACTACGATGTCCAAGAAGGGCATCCAGTGGAAATTCGACCCTCCGGCTTGCCCACACTGGGGCGGTATTTTTGAGGCGGTGGTTAAGGTTGCAAAAACGCATCTCCGCCGCGTTATTGGGGAAACTATTTTGACATTTGAGGAGCTTGCCACTGTATTCTGTAAAATTGAGGCGGTACTCAACTCTCGGCCCCTCTGTCCCCTCTCGTCCGATCCGAATGATTTGGAGATTCTAACCCCGGACCACTACCTGATTGGCCAGCCGCTTAACGCCCTGCCCGAGTACCTCTTCAGGGAAATAAACTCTTCGCGGTTGAGCAGATTTGACCTGCTGCAACAGATGACTCAAAGTTTTTGGCACCGATTGTCTCTGGAGTACCTACATCTTTTGCAGCAGCGCGTTAAGTGGTCTGACAAGACGGATCCTCCTCGGGTTGGAGACCTCGTGTTAGTAGACCCAACGCTTTGCCTTTGTATTGGCGCCGTGGGCGCATTCTTAAGTTGTCGTATGGATCGGATGGGGTGCCTAGGGTGGCCGAGGTTTTGGTTGGAGATTCGGTCTTGCAACGTGCCGTCGCGACCCTATCCCGTTTGCCAATTTACTCGCGGACATAAGTCCTTATGCCCGGGACGAGGGTTTGTTTAGGCCAAATCTTAACATTTAAAACTTGCATTCAAAACGCTCGTCTCGGTCGCCTGACGTATGGGCGAGCAACCGATTTTGATGGCTTGGGCCGGCTTGCCCGTGGCGCCCGTGTCGACTAGTCTGCAAATTACGCTCGAATTGTTAGGTCGCGTGACGACCGCCTCTTATTGCGTTGTCTTTTTCGTGCGTTTACGTGACAACGAGGCTCTTCTTGAGTTTGAGTGATTAACTTAACTTCGATTGCCATTAATTTGCGTCGTCGAGTTGCTTGTGTGGCATTTTAATATCGTACGAAGACATTTTTCCTTTGTCGGTAGAACGCTAAAAATTTGTGACCCGAGAGGAGATCGCGTTCGTCTTCGATTATATTACATTAATTTTGTGCTAGGTGATTATAGTAATTTTGTGCTAAGTGATATTAGACTTGAGTTTACATAAAGGTGAACGCCCTACCAAGTGATCGCACATCTTTGGGAGCAGAGAAGCGCATGTGGGTCTGCTGTCCGATTACATCGGTGACGTCAGGCTACATTTACACACTTTCGCACACCACTTACATACCACCAACTTAACCCCTGACTGTACCTTGTGGTCGACCCTACCTCCGGAACTCGGTAAGTTTGTGTTTGCTTATCAGCCATTACATAAATTAGAATCAATATTAAATTGATAAATGAAGTCATAAAACTTACCAGCCACATCTGTAGCGACCAATATACTACTCTCCTGCCGCTTGAAGGCTGTGATAACTTTGTTTCTGTCCGCCTGGTCCATGTCTCCGTGTAACAGCAACGCGTCGTACTCCTGGACTCCTAGATTTGCAGCGGTTTGCTCTGCTTCCAACTAAAAATATACAAAAATACAAAATTAACAAATTGGAAAATTGGCACACAGTCCAACTAATAGTGAAATATGTGTGTGTGATAGTGAATGCTGTGACATAATGCTGCTGTTTCGTATGGTGAGTGTAGAGAACAGAAGATCCTCTTTACTGGTAATAAGGCATTCCATCTCAGTCCTCAGGGGTGGCCACGCATCTGCATTTCTAGTCTTCATCGAGGATAAATGTAGTCACAGTATCCACTTACCATCAAGTGGACTATGTGCTCATTTATCACCCTTATATTATAAAAAAAATCATTTTCTATGATACTTTAACGTGGTAGAGCCATATTGCAGCTATATTAGTCGTATAGTTGTAGCACGAATGGGTCGGCTCGACCGGGGAAGAACCACGCTCTCACAGAAAACCAGCGTAAAATAGCAGCTTAACGCTGCTGTGTTTCGTATGGTGAGTGTAGAGAACCGGAGACCCTTTTTACTGGCAAAGAGGCATTCCATCTTAGTCCTCACGAGTGACAACGCATCTGCATCTTGAGTCTTTATTGGGGATAGATGTAGATGTCTATGGGTCACAGTAACCACTTACCATCAGGTGGACTGTGTGCTCATTTATCACCCTTATATTATAAAAAAAATCATTTTCTATGATACCTTAACGTGGTAGAGCCATATTGCAGCTATATTAGTAGTATAGTTGTAGCACGAATGGGTCGGCTCGACCAGGGAATGACCACGCTCTCACAGAAAACCAGCATAAAATAGCAGCTTAACGCTGCTGTGTTTCGTATGGTGAGTGTAGAGAACCGGAGACCCTTTTTACTGGCAAAGAGGCATTTTATCTTAGTCCTCACGGATGACAACGCATCTGCATCTTGAGTCTTTATTGGGGATAGATGTAGATGTCTATGGGTCACAGTAACCAGTTACCATCAGGTGGACTGTGTGCTCATTTATCACCCTTATATTATAAAAAAAATCATTTTCTATGATACTTTAACGTGGTAGAGCCATATTGCAGCTATATTAGTAGTATAGTTGTAGCACGAATGGGTCGGCTCGACCGGGGAAGGACCACGCTCTCACAGAAAACCAGCGTAAAATAGCAGCTTAACGCTGCTGTGTTTCGTATGGTGAGTGTAGTGAACCGGAGACCCTTTTTACTGGCAAAGAGGCATTCTATCTTAGTCCTCACGGATGACAACGCATCTGCATCTTGAGTCGTTATTGAGGATAGATGTAGATGTCTATGGGTCACAGTAACCACTTACCATCAGGTGGACTGTGTGCTCGTTTGTCACCCTATCCTATAAAAAAAACTTAATTACATAATTAGTGTACACAACTTACACAAGTAAATAAATCTATTTAAACCACCGCCGTGACCAATACAGCAACAAATTATACAGCCTATCAAAGTCCACTAATAAACATAGTTTTCCCCATAGATTACTCCACATTTGCTATAACCGCCACGCTTGGCAAGCGGGTTGGCAAAAAGCAATTTTTTTATTGTTTTGGGCTATTATCAAAAAATGCTGCTGCCTATTTTCCCCTTTATCGCCTCTTATAACACCCATGGGATGATAATATGGGGTAGGGAATTCTTCATCGATATCAGGCAATTTACAAGGCTATTTTAAGAAATGACATAAACCTCTTACCTTTTTAGTAACAAATATTATCACACTCCCAGCTGACAAAAATTCCACTAAATTGTTCAAGAGCCAGGACCACTTCTCCTCTGGTTTGTTGAATATTCTGAAACAAAGTAAAGTCATTCGAGTTCATGATAAATCTAATTTAATACGCGTAAATGAGACTTGTCAATAACATTAGCAGTTTATACATTATAATATGCATAGCTCTGGGATTAACCCTTTCGATTCCCGCAAATGCTTGTTTTACTCAAAGTCGCAAGTGACCACTCTCTATTTCTGAGTATGATATCATATTTACACTTAGTTAACAGTGAGCAGTGAGCAATGAATAACATTTAGAAGTAAACAGTGTGCAGTTAGTAATGTGCTGTGAGTAGTCTGCTGTGAATAGTGACCGGTGACCAGTGTGCAGTAAGTAGTATACAGAGAGTAGTGAACAGTAAGATAACTCACAAACTCGATAATTTTGGGAGATACATTTGGTCAGGTCCTTAACTGCCTACGTGTTATTTCATTTATTACTTTTTTTTATTTATTTATTTATTGCATAATGTGTTCCATCCATCGTGATTACTCTCATGTCTTTGTACAGAGGACATTTCCAAGGTGAACGTCCTCTTCAGCATCCACATACTTGATTCACTCAGTCTCGTATCATACAGTCTATTTCTGAGCAGTAAATAGTTTGCAATTAGTGGTGTACAGTGAGCAAATTATAGTGTACGGTGCGTTGTCAGCTGTGAGCCGTGAGTAGTGAACAGTATGCCGTGAGCAGTGTTCAAAGAATAAAATGCAGGGAACAGTGTAAAATGAGTACTGGGCACTAAGCAGTTAGTAGTGAACGAGTTGCGAGCACTGTGCATTGTAAACAGTAAACCGTGCGAACAGTAAGCCGTGAGCAGTGTGGCAAGGGGGTCGAGCACTCCATGTGTTGCGTAACGAGCTCACATGCCTCGCAGTGTACAGTAAGCCGTGAGCACATTGCAGTGAGTAGTGAGCAGCGTGCAGTGGGTAGAAAGTAGAGAACGGTGAGAAGTGTGCAATGAATATTGAGATTGTGAACAGACTGTGAACTGTGCAGGTAATAGTGAGCGGTGAGGAATGTACAGTGAACAGTGAGCAGAATTTAGTGAATATTAAGCAGTGAGGCGTGTGCATAGAGAGTAGTAAACAATGAACCATGAGCAGTGTGCAGTGAATAATGAACAACGAGTAGTGAGCAGTGTGCAGTAAGTAGTGAACAGTGAGCAGTGAGCAGTGTGGCGTGTAGCAGGGGTGTGCGTACCGCACGTGCTGCGTGACGAGGTCGCAGGCCTCGCCGGCGGCGCCGTGCTGCACGCGCACGGGGTCGTGCAGCGCGTCGCGCGCCAGCCGCTCCACGCGACGCGGGAACGTGGCCGAGTGGACAGTGAGCAGTGAGCAGTGAGCAGTGAGCAGTGAGCAGTGAGCAGTGAGCAGTGAGCAGTGTGGCGTGTGGCAGGGGTGCGCGTACCGCACGTGCTGCGTGACGAGGTCGCAGGCCTCGCCGGCGGCGCCGTGCTGCACGCGCACGGGGTCGTGCAGCGCGTCGCGCGCCAGCCGCTCCACGCGACGCGGGAACGTGGCCGAGTGGACAGTGAGCAGTGAGCAGTGAGCAGTGAGCAGTGTGGCGTGTGGCAGGGGTGCGCGTACCGCACGTGCTGCGTGACGAGGTCGCAGGCCTCGCCGGCGGCGCCGTGCTGCACGCGCACGGGGTCGTGCAGCGCGTCGCGCGCCAGCCGCTCCACGCGCCGCGGGAACGTGGCCGAGTGGACAGTGAGCAGTGAGCAGTGAGCAGTGAGCAGTGTGGCGTGTGGCAGGGGTGCGCGTACCGCACGTGCTGCGTGACGAGGTCGCAGGCCTCGCCGGCGGCGCCGTGCTGCACGCGCACGGGGTCGTGCAGCGCGTCGCGCGCCAGCCGCTCCACGCGCCGCGGGAACGTGGCCGAGTGGACAGTGAGCAGTGAGCAGTGAGCAGTGAGCAGTGTGGCGTGTGGCAGGGGTGCGCGTACCGCACGTGCTGCGTGACGAGGTCGCAGGCCTCGCCGGCGGCGCCGTGCTGCACGCGCACGGGGTCGTGCAGCGCGTCGCGCGCCAGCCGCTCCACGCGCCGCGGGAACGTGGCCGAGTGGACAGTGAGCAGTGAGCAGTGAGCAGTGAGCAGTGTGGCGTGTGGCAGGGGTGCGCGTACCGCACGTGCTGCGTGACGAGGTCGCAGGCCTCGCCGGCGGCGCCGTGCTGCACGCGCACGGGGTCGTGCAGCGCGTCGCGCGCCAGCCGCTCCACGCGACGCGGGAACGTGGCCGAGTGGACAGTGAGCAGTGAGCAGTGAGCAGTGAGCAGTGTGGCGTGTGGCAGGGGTGCGCGTACCGCACGTGCTGCGTGACGAGGTCGCAGGCCTCGCCGGCGGCGCCGTGCTGCACGCGCACGGGGTCGTGCAGCGCGTCGCGCGCCAGCCGCTCCACGCGCCGCGGGAACGTGGCCGAGTGGACAGTGAGCAGTGAGCAGTGAGCAGTGAGCAGTGTGGCGTGTGGCAGGGGTGCGCGTACCGCACGTGCTGCGTGACGAGGTCGCAGGCCTCGCCGGCGGCGCCGTGCTGCACGCGCACGGGGTCGTGCAGCGCGTCGCGCGCCAGCCGCTCCACGCGCCGCGGGAACGTGGCCGAGTGGACAGTGAGCAGTGAGCAGTGAGCAGTGAGCAGTGAGCAGTGAGCAGTGTGGCGTGTGGCAGGGGTGCGCGTACCGCACGTGCTGCGTGACGAGGTCGCAGGCCTCGCCGGCGGCGCCGTGCTGCACGCGCACGGGGTCGTGCAGCGCGTCGCGCGCCAGCCGCTCCACGCGACGCGGGAACGTCGCCGAGAACAGCAGCGCCTGCCGCTCCGGCCGCACGTGGTTGCAGATCGACCGCACCTGCGGCTCTGCAACAACACACCAACCTTAGCCTCCACCTATCACAGCCATCAGAGCTTAGGCCCCACCTATCAGAGCCTCATCACCGTCATTACAGCCCATAGCAAGTCCACTAATGGACATGGACCACCTGCCGACCTAACACTCAGTTGAAATCTCGTTATTATAGTCCACTGTTAAGTCTACTGATGATCATGAACCTACCTGTCTTATTAAATCATAACTCCATCTAACGGCGGCCCCTTACTACACTTCGCTTACAATTACGAGGCTGTGTTTGTGTTTGAGGCTAAAAAAGAAAACGAAGATTACCATCAAGAGATGAATGCTGAGTGTTTTGAGGAGTGGTTCAGTGGGGTTTTGCTCAAACTAAAACCTAATTCCGTAGTGGTAATGGATAATGCCCCCTATCACTCCAGAAAGTTAGAATCGCTGCCTACAATTTCTTGGAATAAACCAAGAATACAAGAGTGGATGGCGAGCAAAAATATTCCATTCGAGGCACAAATCGTAAAAGCTACACTTATAGACATTGTACGGCAGCACAAACATGAACACTGCGACAAGTATGCCGTGGACGAGATGACAGCGGAGCATAGAGTCACTGTTTTACGTTTGTCCCCTTACCATTGTGAGATCAATTCACGCAGACGCAAATTAATATTGTCAAGCACTTCAACCGGCAATCACTATACAATTTAAGTAAATTACTTGCCAACGAATTTAGGTTAATCAATCAAAATATTACGGCTTCGTATCGCGTGAACGCACTAAAGATAACCAAAACTAGAAGCGAAAAACTCCAATAAAACTCCTACACGTCCTTTCGACCGGCAGTTGTTCACACTATTCCAGTCTATCAACTTTATTGTACATATAATTTACTTCAAAGTCAACCAATTCAACGTTCATCGAAATCAAATACGTGACATACGGCTCAATTACAACGAAATTACTCTAATCACTCAAATTCAATACAAGCCTCTTGTCACGAACGTACAAGTTAGACAAATTAATTCGAGGCGGTCTACACGAAATCCCAAATATTCACTAGTAAATTAGGCTCGCAAAATGACTCAAATTCTAGACCCTCAAATCAACACTGGCCGCGAGCTACCGATCCAGCGGTCGCAAATAAAATACGCTAGTAGACAGAGCCGCTGCTGTCAAGCTACTGTTGCTAACCCACCAGGCCGAACGCCGGGAAGCGGCATGTCGCCCCCCCCCCCCCCGGCGGCGCGTCACCTCACACCATCGGGCGATGCGCTAAGTCAAAGGCGATTGGATGCCGTTTCAAATGACCATGTTTGGGCCTAAACATTCAAAATGAAAGATGTAAAAAAACTTTTCGAAGAAGGACTAAATGAAGTGACTGACGAAATATGGAGTAGCTGCATGGCTCACATAATAAAAGAAGAAGACAAAATGTTTAATCTCGACCACAAGATCGTTAATGGCTCAGACAAGTTTATAATAAATGTTACTGACAGTGACAGTGACAGTGATGATATTTTATCTGATCACGATGAATAAAAATATGTAATTTAACCATAGTTTATTTTTTATGAAATCTCTATGATGACATACACTATGGATAATTTTCGCCAGATGAAGTGACAACATGGATGTACCTTAAATAAATCTTGACGTAATTTTTAAAACCTTCAGTTAAAAAAAAAAATATTTTTTTTACCATTCAGTCGTTTTCTTTATCAGTCAGTCATTTCGTTTACCGTTCAGTCATTTAGTCACATACACTATTTTTGATTCATTAAAACCTGACAACCCAGTAAACGCCCGGCAGCTTCGTTTAATTAAAAATACGACTTTACCTTCTTACTCTAAATAATATTAAAATGTTTACGCTCGAAAGACGGCAAACTGCAGTGTGCAAAAAAATCTTATATAGGTTTATGTTGCACTGTACTTATGAACTGTGTATAATATGTATTTTCGTTTTTGTAAAAGAATTAAAAAAAGAATATACATTGCTTACTTACCAAAAATAATCTTACTATAACTGACCTATATTAAATAAAAGAAATAGTTTTTATAACAAACATACTCACCAAAACCCATGTCAAACATCCGGTCTGCCTCATCTATCACCAAATATGTGACCCTCTTCAAATTTGTTGCTTTGCATTTGATTAGATCTATCATACGACCCGGTGTCCCAACTACTATTTCGGCCCCACCTACAACAAATTGCACTGCATTATATCTGATTAAGACTATAGGTTGTAACTCCTACACTTGTTGATAGATGATATGAGATTATTTAAAGGTTTCTATGATATAATAAGTGATATGGCACATTGATATGGAAGTTGCTCGCTACATCAAACAACTGCTGAACTTCTTCGAAAATATTTCATGGCTCAAATAATCCTAATATTCTTGACCATACGCAAAATACGTGCTTAGACGTGGAGTTTTTTTTTTTATTGGATTGGGTGACAAACGAGCACACAGTCCACCTGATGGTAAGTGGTTGTGGCCCATAGACATCTACATTTATCCTCGTTTGCGAATCAAAATGCAGATGCGTTATCAGCCGTGAGAACTAAGATGGAATGCCTCTTTTCCAGTAAAAAGGGTCTCCGGTTCTCTACACTCACTATACGAAACACAGCAGTGATAAGCTGCCTTTTTATGCTGGTATTCTGTGAGAGCGTGGTCCTTCCCCAGTCGAGCCAACCCATTCGTGCTACAACTATACTACTAATATAGCTGCAGCATGACCTTTTTTTTTTTTTTTTTTTTTATTATTATAAAGGACTTTGTCGCTGAGCGACCACATCGTCCCGTTTTGTCTACAATTACTTAATCACTACAATTGAATACAAAATTAAACATAAAGTCTATTATATTAACAATAGTTACGTGCAAGGAGCACGCGCGACTATAAGCAAACACACCTAAGGAGTAGGAATAAGTGGAACCATAAACAGCCCCATCTATTCCCTACATAGAATCAAGTCGGCTAGCTTGACCAGCATTTTAGCCTCCTCCGACATAGGATAAGTCAAAATACTGTTCAAGGTGCCAACCTGAAAATTCGTATTCGTACCAAAAAATAACCTTCTAATTGCTTCATTCCGGACACATTCCATCAAAATATGTTGAACATCTTCAACTATTCCGCATACGTCGCAATTTGGCAAACTTATTCGATGGAATATGTCCCGAACGTAATCTAAGAATAGACTTTATGTAGTTTCTATTTAGTGGACTATCTATCCACGAATTACAGGTTATTTGTGGCTGAATTGTTCGATACCAGATACCCTTCTCGCGTGATCTTTCGTCAAAATGTTCTTGCCATAATGCTCTGCACTGATCTTTTAAATGTTTAATGTGGTCAGAAAAAAGGGGTAACACCATTAACGGTATCCCGTCCACAACTGCCTGTTTTGCTAAGAGGTCCACGACCTCATTTCCTGTTATCTGTATATGAGATGGCAACCATTGAATAATAATCTTTTTATTTTGAGATTGCAATTTTAAGATTGATTTTATTATATCATAGGCAATCGGTTCACCTCTCACTTGAGAGGCACAACGAGCCAAATGCTGCAGGGAACTTTTAGAGTCAGTCAAAATGACAAATTGGCCAAAAGATATTGAATCTATATATGATAGGGCTTCAGATATAGCAATCAATTCAATATGCATAATCGAAATATCGGAATCAATCTTAAATTTCATACTGCATTCAGAGTATGGATCCAATAAAGCTGCTCCTCCTCCGGTTTTGTCCTTAGATCCATCTGTGAAAACTTTGTACCAGTTTTCATATTCTTGTTCAATAAAAAGTGTACAGATATTCTTAAGGATCTGGCTGCTGTATGAGTGTTTGGGACGATCAATGCGTGGAATAGAGTCTCGTATTACTTGGCGCAAATTAATATTGCTGACCCAAGTTTCAAGTGAATACATTTCAAGTTTGTCAGTGCTATGTAAAGGTATTGACTCAAAAGATTTTTGAACATCAATAAGCAATGGAATTTTCTTATTGTGCCAATAACGAGAATGTGTGAGCATTGTTAAATTCCGTACAACATTGTTAGTGGTGTTATTTGAAAGAGATTTAGATTTTAACCAAAACTTACTGGCGAGAAATTTTCTACGAAATTGAAGTGGTGGGAGACACAGCTCATTTTCCATGACATGGATTGGGGTACTTCTTATAAAACCACCAATTACACGTAAAGCTTGGTTTTGTAACCTGTCCAACTTCTGCAAATTTGTTTGAGAACTATTATCATACAGGAAGCTGGCATAGTCAATTCTGCTTCGAATGATAGAAATATACAAACGTCTAATATGTTTTTGATGAATACCCCACCCTGGACCTGACAAGACTTTTAACAGTGATATATATTTAGACAATTTTTGAGTTAATTCGTTAATATGTTTTCCCCATCTAAGCGAACAATCCAACCACAAACCTAAATATTTGATTTCATTAACTAATGGCAAAGATTGATTATTAATTTTAAAATTTACAAAACTTCTAAATCGGCCCTTTTTGAATACACAAAATTTACTTTTGGTTGTAGAGATAATTAAACCCAAACTACCCAACAACCTATCAAAATACTGACAAGCAATTTGGAGTTCTTCAATCGCAGAGTCGACGCTTTTTTTGTAGAATATAGAACAAAATCATCGGCATATTGAGAAATATCTACATTTTTAATGTTTTTACAAATATTAATAGTAGCTGCGTTGAAAAGCAGAGGAGACAAAGGATCGCCTTGCGCTAGTCCTCGTCCTGTTGTTCTAATCATGTCATATCCGTCAACTGTTATTCGTAATTGTCTATTATTTAAGTATGACCAGAGGTATAGACAAATTTTTGAGCCCACTCCTAACCGATCTAAATTAAGCAATAAACATTTAATGTCAATGTTGTTATACGCGTTATCTATGTCAATAAAACAGGCAACTGTTATTAAATTGTTTGAAAAACCTGTCTGAATATGAGAAATCAAACGAGTTAGATTATCATAACATGATCGAGCTTTACGAAAACCTATTAAACTATCAGAAAACATTAAATTTTTTTCCAGAAACCATTCTAGTCTTTTATTCAGTATTGAATGAAAAATTTTACATAGGCAAGATATTAATACAATTGGGCGGAATAAAGTGCGCGAATTTGGGTCACTGCCATGTTTAGGGATAGCGATTATACTAATTTGACGCCATTGTGCAGGAATAAATCCACAATTCAATGACAAGTTATATAATTTTACTATCAGGTTTTTGCCAACTAACGGAAGGTGCTTAATCATGGAAAATGATATTTGGTCATAACCTGGCGCAGTATCGGTCTTTTTAATAGAATTTTCAAGTTCGTGGATAGTGATTGCCGATTCCAAATCAGTATTAATTGAGTTAAATAATGGTTGAAACGGGCATGCATAGTCAGGGGTAAGATCATAGAGTAGTCTCTCCGCTTTGTCTCTACTTATACCGTCATCATAAGAGCTTTTAGAACGATGTCCTTTAATCCATCTCATTTTACGCCACATGTCTGATGATGAAGTGGTTACATCAACAGAGTTACAGAAATTTTGCCATGATTTACATTTGGCAAACCGGATGACTCTTTGTGTGTCACGTATTTTCGTTTGCAGAGTATTTAAATTTTCAGGGGATGGATTTTTTCTTAGATTAGCCAATGCACGTCGGCGCTCTGCTACGGCTTTAGATATTTCAGCATTCCAGTAAGGTTTGGGAATAAATTTATTGACAATATGTTTTGGGGTGTTTTTGTAGGGAATATATCTACTAGCTGCTGTTTGCAAGGTAACTTCAAATAAGTCATAAAATTCTTGATGGTTTGAGGGAATGTTAAAGTCGGTAAACGAGTTCTCTATGTATGACGTATAAGACTTCCAATCGCTGTTTTTAAAATCCCTATTTTTTTAACTTCTCTATCAAAGTTTAAATCGATCGATAATTTGATTATACGATGATCGCTACCAAGAGTTTCGTTTGTAACTTGCCAGGAAAATAAAGTAGCCAAATCTGAAGAAATAAAAGAGATATCAGGAGCAGATTGTTGTAACAACCCATTTACGAGCCGCACTCTGGTGGGTTCTCCATTATTCAAATAAATGTAGTTATGATCTAACATGGAGTCAAATATTTGAAAACCTCTTTGATCTGTTTTGTAAGACCAATTGGTGTGATGAGCGTTAAAATCACCTAATATTAAGGTATTTTTACTGGCAAGAGAAAACACACAATCCCAATCGTTTTGGGTCGTATGAACCGTTGATGGACAGTATATAGACACAATATTCTCAATATACCGACAATTAAGAATTTTAACGTGAATTATTTCAATACCAACATTAGAGCAGTGAAAAGAACATAAAACTGTTTTAACTGACCTATGTGCTAAGATTGCGACCCCACCATACGAATCTGATCTATCTAGTCTATGGGTATTATAATCTTTTATGTTAAAATACATATCCGGCTTGAGCCAGGTTTCACTAAGCACGGCTATATGCACCTTTTCTTGTGTAAGAAGCGCCTCAAACGATAAGGACTTAGGGCGTAAGCTTTGACAATTCCACTGAATAATATTAAAATTAATGTTAATATTACTGAGATTACTATTCATGATTATTGTACATGTTTATCAAAGAGTTAGCCGAAATGTTGTTGATTAATTTTGATAGTATCCACTCTGTGCAAATTGTCACTACTTGTTGTATTTTAACTTCTAATGCCCGTCCACTTACTACTGTTTTGTATAATTTACACACAAAACGTATAAAACTTAAATCTTTGTTATTAGACCCATCATTTATCTTCGTCGTTCCACTGTCGATGTTTGTAAAATCCTCTAAACACTCTGACTCGCCATTCAAATCGGTTTCCATGGAGATTGTTGCTGAAGAAGAAGTAGAGTTCGAAGAGGTGGGTATAGGCTTGCCCTCTTTCTTTTTTTTCTGCTTGCAATTTTGTGTCTCCTTATTTGACGTTCGTTCAGATGTTGTTACAACAAGCTGGGACTTCGGTTTTCCACTGCGAGCTGTAGTCTTCACGTTAACAGGTTCTGGGCTTTGATGATTCAATCCTGGTCTGTCTTCTTCTGTAGTCGGGGTGTCAATAGCTGGGCTCGGGTGTGGGGGCCTGTCAAGTGTTGGGGAGGGAGGAACATAAAGCTTGAGTGCTTTCCTATATGTACAATTAAACTCTGACATTAATTCCCTAATTCTCCTTTCCTTTTTGTATATTGGACATATCTTTTGTAGGGCCATGTGACTACCCATACAGTTAACACAACGAAATGTTGTTATTTCACAGTTTTCGTGGTTTTTAGTGCATTTTGGACATACAACTTTTTTTGACGGACACTGAAGGCGAGTGTGACCAAACTTCCAACAACGAGAGCATTGTGTGACTGGAAAGATGTAAGGCTCCACTTTTACTCTTAGACCCTGAATATATACATATGCAGGAAGGGAGGATCCTTTAAAAGCAAGACGAATAGATTCACATTTAACCCAGCTCATAGCAGACACCTCATTGTATTTTCTCTTGTTTAACCTAAGCACTGATATAATTTCAACATTACAAGACAGGCTTTTTATAATATCTTCATCGGCAACATCCATTTCTATGTCCCTTATTACTCCATACGATATGCCAACTTCGGAAGTCTTTTGGCATCTCCAGCCAAGTTCATAAAATGTCTTGCATGCGATAAATTGATCAGCGCTAATTTCATTTTCAAAAGTTATTAATATTTTATATTGATGAATGTATTTTACTCAACTTATTTCTTTAATATTATTTTCTGTAAATAGTCTAGCTAAGGCAAATTGCTTAGGTAAAATATTACTGCATGTAACGCAAACCTGGATTAATTCTTCGACTTCTTGACTAGATCGACGAAGTACTTTACCCCCCCTTGAAGCTATCCTCCACTCTTCTATTGACGAATTATCATCCTCCACCCTTGTCCTCTTTCTGTTCACTTCCTCCATCACCATATTTGTATTATCACTGCACACCACATTTTCTTCTAAAACTTCCTCTATTCTGTTATTTACATCGTTATCCATCAAACCAAAATTGACTGAGTTTCCACTAGCATACGGCACATTTTCCATCGCGTTGTAGCGGGGACTCGGCCTATAAGGTCGAGTCCGCGCTTATCGGTAAGCAGGTAGAAATAGAAAGTATGTTTATTACTCGCGCAAAGCGGCCTATTCGCTCGAGATGCAAATAACAACTGATGAGCATGACCTTACCACGTAAAAAAGTATTTTTAGGTAATAAGGTGGTCGCAAATAGGGAAAGGGGTCCGACACTTGCACTGCCCAGGGGCCTCTATATGATTTAATCCAATTCAGATACAAGTGAATGTTTAACTTACCCTCTAAAGCTTTTGTCTGTTCCCATTTAGAGCCACCACCATAGCAGCAAACACATCTTATGTTATAAACCTTCCCAAACCGTTTAGCCTCCATATAAATCTGAAAGATATATTTACTGAATTAAGTATTTCTGTCATATTCTGTCCACGTATGATATTGTCTAGCTCCAAGAATATGTAATATAAAAAGTTAAGTAATACACATCGCACATTTAGGACGATGATGAAGCCTGTAGGTATAAAAAGGATACCTGAATCCCCACAATTGTTGAGTAAATTAGTAGTAAACCAGGGAACATTTTAGAAAAAAACACCATAAGTTCACAAAGATGTCATTGCAATTTATTGTGTTTACTTATGAAAAAAAAAATATTTCTCAGTTCAATAAACTGAGAAATATTTTTTTTTCATAAGATATAAATAAAAAAGTATTTGTAAAATGTGTTTCCAACATAAATAATAATATTTCATTTGATATAAGTTTAACAGGGTTTCATCATGGAATCTCTTTATGATTTAAAAAGAAATTTAAGTAGATTTACAAAGATTGAAAAATTAAAAAGTATTGCAAAAAGTAACTTCGAAATCGTAGTACATACATAAATTGTGACGTGACACCTTCCTATTTTTTTCGTCAACATAAGTTAAAAATGTGGTGTGTTCGAGTGAGAAAGAGTCCCACATTATGAATCTGTCCTATCTGCATGTTGTAAGTGTTTTAATGCCTAAAGATCATCAATCACTAATAAAAAACTAGATACACAATCAGTGACAAAAAATGGCGTAACCGAATGTGCACCTACTCGAACATATGGGTGCACTTTTAATCTAATAGCATTCGAATGCTCCAACGGTAAACATGTCTCAGTGTTCGTTTAAAATGTGTAAAAATCACACATCCAGGACGCTAAAAAAGGATTGATTTTCATATTTTCGGTAACTATTAATATTAACATTATTTAATTGTTTTCACTGTATTTTAATACTGATATTTTTTCAAGAAATCATCGTAAAAGTATTTTTTTAAATTAAGTCGTAATAAAATGAGTCGTCATTGTTCGAGGTATATGCGTTGATTCTGTTCCATTTGTGGAGACGCTATTGTTTTTTTTTTTTTTTATTATTAAAGTATGATGGTATTTTTTCTGTTTAATGAGAGTTCTTTAATATTTCTCTAAATATTATAGTATTGAAAACGTCGGGAATATAAAATAAGTTAATATACGCGATAAAGTTCGTAAAACTAGTTTTACTTAAATGTGTAATGAACGCGTAAATATAAGAAATCATTATAATTATTCAGTCTTATCCGTTTTTTAAACATCTGTAAATATGAACATTACATCAAAAATTTGGACATTAATATTCTTAGATTTTGCAAGATCTTTTTGTATTTATTTTTTATATTTAGTTACTATTATATTTAGATTTTAGTTGTTTGCCAAGCAGTATTTTTAATTTTGTTACACAAGATAAAGAATAAATAAATAATTATGACTGTTTCAATTACTTTCATTTCTAAATGAATGTAGTGCCCTATCCAAAAGCATAGTTACATTCAGGTAATAATATAACCATTACACATATACACCATAGAATAGAATAGAATATTCTTTATTAAGTAGACCAATTATTTAAAACAAATTTAACAAATTTATAAAATAAAAATTACAGTAACAAAAAATATTTTGCAGTTCGACTCTACTATCCTTGTCCAATCGATGAGCCTCTGTTGTAAAATTTTATTGCTTTTTGCACGTAGCTTTGTCAATACAACTTTATGCAATGGAATTAAGGTTGAATTTACATTAATGTATATTTATATCAACTAGAATGACGTCAAAACATTTGGCGACAGTTTTTAGAGAACTTTTGTATGGAATTGTGCATCTAGTTTTTTATTAGTGATCGATGCTAAAGATGGATAGCGTTGCTTCAAATCATGACTCATTTTTTTAGATGTGTCTTTTTTGTTGAAGATTAGGACAAATGCTACTAAAGAAGAGATCCATGTCCAGCAGTGGATGACCAATGAGAAGAGAAAAAAAGTCTCGTAGAACTAACAAAAAGGTGTATGCCATTCTTCAGAATAGTTTATTAGTATCTCATACCTGCTGCGCAAGTTCTCTTGTTGGGGCAAGTATTAGACCAATGGGTCCATCTCCAGGCGCTAACTCTTTCTGATCCATAATGTGAACGAGAAGCGGCCATAAAAATGCCGCAGTTTTGCCTGAACCCGTGCGAGCGATTCCTGAAAAACATTACGATAATCAATAATCAGTTACTATAGGGTGGGTAAAGGCTATCTTGTTAAGTTAGTTAGTGAACCCCTATCTATGTCTAACCTACCCTAGAAATCGAGGAGGTTTTCTACATCACTTACTTGTAGATTAGAGAATTAAAATTAATATTTAAACCTTAAGTATAGTGTAAAGAGTTATCCAGCCGTGGGCTGCTACAACCTTATGATGACAATTTTACCACAGTCTAACTACTACTAACAGTCGGCCATCGAAGGCATCTAGAGGGGGTACGGTGCAGGGCAAGAGTAGGAAAGGCTTAGCCTCTCGGGAACTGACCACTAAGGTTGTCCTGTCACACAAATAAATTAAAACGGTTCACACTACATCTGTGGTAAAAATCTATGGGTCGTCCAGTTTACACATTAATTTGTTTAAATGTGAAGTAAAATAATATTAGTTTATTATTTTTTTGTTACTTCCTGTTCTGACAACCAACAATTTATTGTTTATGTCGGCTTTTCAGACAACATCAAACGTGATGACTGACTTTCGAACACTTATTTGAAGGACTTTGCACACTTGTTTTAACACTTATTGGTGCAACCTGCCAGACATGCTTTGCAAACACATATCTCCACAGTACGTTGATAAATCACAAACAAGATGGACGATTTTGTGGCTGCAGTGTGCCTGAATTATTTAAGTGCATGTCATTATTTATTACATGTGCAAAAATAATACAATAAAATACAATACAATATAATATTTAAATACAAGATTATCTTTTTCGTTCATAAGTCTGTCATCTTCATCCAAGGGCTTTATCTCTTCAGATAACAGCTGATCATACAAATAACATTAATTCGATTGTTTATTACTGTGTTTATGCTTGGACCTATTTTTAAAACGTACTGCGCACAACCCGTCCCGCTGGACAACGCTCGCGCGAATGCACTTTGCGGCAGGTTATGCAAACATTTGAACACTGTCGACTTTGAACGCTTTGATGTGCGCTAAAAAACCGAAACCGCTTGGCAAAGTGCATTTCTATGTGATTATATTTGACCATTGATTCAATGTCCCGTGCCCATAGCTTCAAGTGTTCAAATGTTTAAAGCTGTATCTGGCGCCGGCTTTAGGCTGTGGTTTTACCACAGTATATACAAGAGTATGACACCCACTCTTAAATATCATCATCATCATCATCATTACAGCCCTACAGAAGTCTACTGCTGTACATTGATCTTCCTCAAAGAATGCCACAAATCACAGTTCTGTGCCACCTGCATCTATCACCTACCTTTAAAATATTATATAGTTATATTCTTCGAGCCGTATTCTTAAAGCACTGGCTGAAAATGGTTAAAAAAATGGCCAACTCTGTCATCATCATCATCATCATCATTACAGCCCTTCACAAGTCCACTGCTGAACATAGGCCTCCCCCAAAGAATGCCACAAAGCACGGTCCTGAGCCACCTGCATCCATCGACTTCCTGCATGTCTTACCAGGTGGTTACTCCATCTAGTGGGGGGGACGCCCTACACTTCGCCTACAACTCTGTCACTTCAGCCTAAATATGCCAAATAGTAATAACTTTGCAAACTCCCGACTTAATAATCAAATAAGACATACCAATGAGATCTCTGCCTGATAATGCAGCCGGCACACCAGCAGCTTGGATTGGAGTTGGCTGGGTATACTCAGAGCGACGTATTGCTTTCATGAGTTGTTCATCAAAACCTAGATGTGCAAAACTGCTCACAGGCTTTAGGGGATCCGGCCCTGTTATCTAAAAGTTGTTTATTTAATTATGATTGGTTTTTTTTACAGAATAAGTGTGACAAACGGGCACATAGTCAAGCTGATGGTAAGTGGATACTGTAACCTATAAACATCTACATTTATCCTCGATTAAGAATCAAAATGCAGATGCATTGTCGACCCCTGACGACTAAGATGGAATGAATCATTTCCAGTAAAAAGGGTCTCCGGTCTCTACACTTAACATACGAAACACAACAGCAATAATGCATGCTATTTTACGCTGGTATTCTGTGAGTGTCATCCTAACCCAGTCAAATCGACCCATTGAAGCTACAAGCATAATATAGCTGCAGCATAGCTCTACAACATATAAAAATGTTGTTGTCTGTCGGTAAAAAGTATAAAATAACATACTAGTTACAAGTTTTGTAAAATCTGTGGTTTATGATTTTGTTAGTGACTTTTTTTGTTTACAGTTGTCACTCACATAATGTTAAAGCCACTACTACTTTTGAGAAATAAACTGGATTAATAATTAAAGCCAAAAGACATTTTATGAATAACATAGCCATTTAGCCAAGCTTAGGAACAATATCATAGTAAAGTGATAGTTGAAACTAACCTTTACACCCAAATTCTTCTTCAAATCCTCAACCTGTTGGTGGGTTAAATTTTCAATATCTTCATGAGGAACATAAAAGTTCTTCTCAAATGGCTCATACTCTATTTCAGAGTGGTCAATAGGAGGTAGTGGATCAATAAACTTTTTCTTTGTAGGTGCTATTGGGTTACCATCTTCATCATATTCAATTTCTAAGTCAGAATCATCACCAGCGTTAGTGAGAGGATTTTCTTCCATATATCTAAAATGTAAATGTTGTCGTTATATATATATAGTTGATTAACTTGCATTTCAATTTATTCTTTATCATGATTAAAAATTGTTAGAACATTTTTTTAATAATATTTAAGACAGTTATAGTTCTACGAAAATTTTAGAAGATCTTTCTTAGGGTCAGCGCACATAAAAGCAGCAAAATGCTCTAGCAATTTTTACAGATAAATTGACTATGAACTAAATCACTAATAAAATAGCTTTAGAAATAATGTGCAAGAGATAATTCTCTGTGGCATGTTCGCATATGTTCTTTGCAACCACACGGGCAGTTGTGAACTTACTCAAACATGCTATAGCATATGCATGGTCGGTAGGTATTATTATGTCATTATCTATACTCACTTATAATAACTTTCTTCGTCATCTAACTCATCTATGTCTCCCCTGGTTCCCCTGCCACTATCACCTTTACCCGCAATTGCATTTTCCTTACTAGTAACCAAGTCTTTTGCAGCTTGCTTCTCCAAGCCAGCCATATATGCATCTAGGGGATCCTCTTCATCATCATCTGCCTAGGATGTGTACAGAATAATAGAATAGAATAAGTGAGACACAATATCTGTTACAAATGCACTAGAATGCAGAGATGATAGATATTTACTCTACCAGGTTTTAAAAGTAGGTCTGACCTTATACGAGCAAAATATACTTGCAAGTATGAGAGTATTATATGTCTGGTGCAGGAAGAACTTGAAACACCAGTCTCATATAATTCATCATATGGATACACAGAATATGGATCAATCCAATACTAGTATTTTCAACTTTGGATGCCAAGAACATGTTGCGTGCAGCTTGGGATGTTGGCAGGTAGGATATAAAAAACAACATGAACTAGACTGAACACTAACAAATACTTTGAAGTATTTTAAAAACTGGTATTTGACCCTGTTATTTTTATTTACTCATACTTTTCTAACTATCAGTAAATAAAAATATGCCCTGGCATTGAATTTTGCAAGTATATCTCATCCCTACTAGACTGGACACTGTGTTTAATTAGATTAACTTGGATTAATGAAAATGTAAATATATTGTCATTCCTAAAAATTAAGATATAATGCCGTGTTGTCAGTAACAGGTCCCTGATTCTCATAATTAGTAACATAACAACTACATTTAATTGGATATGTAAAAGCACTAGTTCTTATCCAGGCTTTTTAATATTTAATATTAATTTATTTTTTAACTCTTTAGTTATCGATCAAATAAATATTAACAATGTGTTGATAAATACCACATTTTCCACCAAATAAGCAATGGAATACAAAGAATTGAAAGTATGACCTAATCTGTATCTTGCTATTTTTACCCTGCTACTTTAGTGCAGAAAACTTCATTAGCCAAGCAGATGTTTCATGCTCATTCATACTATTACTACTGTAGAATACTCTAGAATGGCTTGACTATGATATGCCCTCCTCCTGTTAAAGCCATATTTAGTAGAAAATACCTTAGAGCTTGAAGCAGCCTCATAGGTTGGACTACCAGGTGCTGGAATGTACGCAAGAGCTGGGGTTGGTGGCTCATCATCCTCATCAAAATACCTAAAAAAATTAAGATGTATATATAACATCTAGCTGTTCCTTGTGACTTCGCCCTTATGTAATTTATTACAATTGGACATATTCATGGGTTTGAAAATTAGTGGGGAACCTTAATTCTGTTTAGTTTAGTTACACTTAATAACATCAGCTGTCCACCAGTGAACACAGTGACAGTGACACAAGTTTTTTTTAGAAAATGTGTTTTTGTTATAAATACCATATACTTATTACTTAGTTATACTTATTATTACAATTACTTACAAATGCATTTAGTAAAAAGCTGTTATTTTGTCAGCTGTGTATTTTGACATTACAAACAGACACTTCAATTTTATTTATTTGTATAGATGTTATGCAAAGCGTCAAATCAGAGAAAAAGGTGCAAAAGTAGTTTATCAATATGACATTGTATCAGTAATGTTTTTTATTTGATGTTGGTTGCAGTTAAGGTTACTAAATTTTTGTATAAGAAATAAAGTATATTAAGGTCAGGGTTTTAAAATAAACAGTATTTAAGAAAAATAGAGTATTTTTTATGAAGTCTTAAAAACATGTTTTTGGAGCTTCTTGTACAATTTAATAATTTATTATCAATTTTATAATATTTGTTAGCCTCAACAATTGTCAAAGTCAAATTTAAAATAAGTGAGGAACTTATTTTTTTATTAAATTAATAGGAGTTCTATTTTTCAGGTTTCATGGCTCAGAATAAAAGAAATGATAGAAACAGTATTTTTTATACATTTTGAATAGAACAGTATTGAAGAGTTAAATTAAGTATGATGATACTGTTTTTAACAGTATGGTTGGCAACTCTATTTGCAGTAGCCAGTTACCATCAGGTGGACACACCAGCTTAATCATCGATTACATACCAATAACACTTTCTATATTATACAGTAGTCACCAAAATATCTCATACATAATTACAGATCCAGTTATACATTTAACTACACTTTAGAATAATTCAATGTCTGTGTCAATGAAGAAATTTGGTTTGCTTTACATTATCTCGACCGATACCTTTACACACTATTAAAGTCCACTGCTGATCATAGACCTCCCCCATAGATTGCTTCTCGATGGGATATTTACCATAGTTAACACGCGTTGGCAAGTGGATTGGCAACAGCAATTTTATTATTTTTAGTCTTTATTAGGAAGTCACTGCTGCCCATTTCAAATGATTCCTTCTTCCGCTGTTTACAACACCCATGGGATGATATGGGGTAGTGGATATTCTTACGCCGCCACTATACTTACTTGACTAGCTAGTATCTTTACATGACACATTAATTGAAATTGATGACTTACTCATCCTCTGTTTTTGAACGTTTTTTTCCAAGGGTGCCCCAGTTACCAGCAACGGCGTTTTGAGTGATAGCATTCATTGTCGAATAGCCTTGCTTAGATAGACCAGAAGTTGGCGGCGGTACAGCATGCATTGGAGTCGTCGGTGGAGGGACAGCATGTAGGGAAATATTGGATGGATTCCGCTTCGGCATCGTAAACCCGGCAAACCCAAATCCTTTGCCTCCACTCCCTCCGGAATAACTCATTTTAAATATTGGAACTTTCAAACTTCTTACTGAAGAACAATATTGCTTGAGCTAAATATCAGTTGGTCATAATAAAGATAAGGTTATTTAGGGGATTATAATAGAAGACAAATAATTTTTATTTAATTGAACAATCATTGCCTGTAATAAAACCGTCCCTATGATTCAACAAAATATTTCAAATATGTATGTAGTTAGAACAAATATGTAAATTAATTGAATTGAAATAATTATGTCCCAAGCAGGTATTAGTGTTCTGTGGTCCCAAGTACCTACAGCATAAATTTTTGTCATAGATTAAATATAAACATGTAGAAGACTAGAAGACTTAGTTTCACAGAGTACATTTAGTTTTTTTTTTTAGTTTATGGCATGGTATCTAGACCTTTAGGCCAAGTCTTGAGTATTTTTATTCGGTTTATTATAATTTCCCCACTGTATTTTTATGAATTTATATAGAGGCACGTAATAGGATCTATTTAATAACATATCACTCAGGCGGCGGGAGGGAGCTTGCACTGTCACTTGATTTTGCACTCTGTCACTAATTTCACTGACAAGAATCAATTTGTCAAATGAAAAGAACTCACATAAATATGAAATGTTCGATATCACCATTCACCAACAGAATTATTGCAGAAGGTGCAGTCGCTGCTCTCCACTATGCCCAACCGTGCCAGGTGGGTTGTGTGTGAGTGTGTGACCAAAACGCAATCTGTTTATAGTGGTAATAAAGTCCCGACTGGCCATTTTCAGTTTGTTATACCATGGTGCTATAGGTAGTTTTTCTTGAACATTCCCATACCATTTACCCTTCTGTTCTTGATCTTGTTTCCAAAATTAGACCCATAAACTATTGATCTGGTTGTCAATAGATTGATAACAGTCGGTCAAAGGTACTTTTACTATGGAGCTAACATCCAACATGTTGGTTCCATCACGTGCAATTTTATCTACTATCTCATTTCCTGTTATGCCCCTATGTAATGGAATCCACATGAAAGAGACCTGTATACCCTTTTGTGCATAACTAAATAACATTTTTTTAATATCATACAAAATATAGTTCTTTTTAATGTCAAATCTGAGATTGGTTAAACTTTGGACCATACTTAAATTGTATGTTAAAATCAAAAAATTATTAAAACTATTTATACTTGCGATCCTCTTCAGGGACTCGAGGGCCGTATATACCTCTGCAGTGAAAACACTGCATTTAGAGTCCAGAAGAAAACTTTGACCAAGTTTTGATTGGGGATCATAAACAGCACTGCGCACAAAGAGCTCACTTTTGCTACCATCTGTATACAGACTATAGTAGTTATTGTCGGAAAGAAAACTTAATAATTCACAATTATTAACAATTTTTTTAGTAACAATATTGGTCTCAAATATAATACAGGAATATAGGTATGAGTAGCATGTCCACTTTGATTGTTTAATTACATTTTTAAAATCTTCATTCATTTGCAGTACAATGAGAGGCAGAACTAGGAAATAACCTCGTAAAAGCTCACCTCCCGAAGTCTGTTGGGCCGAGCATTGTACAGGAAAAGGTATTATTTTTTTGAGAACATTATCATTACCAGATAACAACTTTAGTAAATATCTCTCTATTAACAAAAGTCTTCTGAGACACAGTGGCATTATTTTGGTTTCAACTTCCATATTTTATATGGGAGTTGAACACATAGCCCCAGAAATAATTTGCAGAGCTTTGTTTTGAATTATGTCTAGTTTTTTTAGACAACTACTATTAGAGTAGGCTAAACAACTGTAGTCGAAGTGGCTTCTGATTATAGATTTATATAGCATACTTAAAACTTTGGGGTCTGCACCCCAAGTCACACCAGCTAAACATCTTATAATATTAAGGCCCTTAAGAGAGTTAGTTATAATGTGATTGATGTGTGATTCAAAACAAAAACAACACCCAAGAATTTATGATTAGGTACATCTGAAATTGAATGATTATTGTAGAGTATGCCATTAGAAGGAAAATCTTTACTAAAAATCATGGCCTTGCTATTGTTGGAGTTAATCTGTAGAGCCAACTTGTCATTATAATATATGTACAATTGATCTAAAGCTTTATTTATACTATATACAGCTCTATCTACATTATGGTCTGTACAATATATTACAAGATCATCCGCAAATTATAAAATATTTACACTATATATATTCTATATTTACAAAATTAAGTATTTGACTAGTATATATATATTGTACAATAATGAAAATAATGTAGCCCCCTGCATTGTACCTTTGGAGGCCCTTCTGAAAATATTATTATGTCTTATATACAAAGTTCTGTCTGTTAAAAATTAAATAACCAATGACAAAGTATGCCTGGTATACCAATGTCAGAAAGAACTTGAACCAAAATTCCAGGGTCAACATTATAAAACGCACCTTGAACATCCAGAAAAACACAAACACTGGACTTATTATTATTGGCATATTTCAGATCTGATAAGAGAGAAATGAAGCTGTTAGCACAGCTTAGCCCCTTCCGGAAGTCATATTGAACATGTGGAATGATGTTGTTTGCCTCTACATAATACTCATTATGACTTAAAGGAGGATTAATTTGGACAATAAAACACGAGTAAGCGTAGGAAAATGATAGCTCCCCATACAATCATCATGTACCCACCATTCGCATAGTGGAGTGATTGGAGCACTACAAAAGCTGACATCAATAGCCGATGGATTTCGGTTAGGATAATTAATAGTAGTGAAGCTACCATTGTTAAGGACACATAGATCAAATTCATCAATTAGATCGTATAACTGATGACCCCGACTTTTTGTGGTTATACACCCAAATGCCACATAGTGAGCGTTGAAATCTCCAGCCACATATATTGGCTTAGGCAAATCTCTAATTTTATCACGCAGTTTACTTATTCTGAAGTTAACATTCGAGGGAGGGCAGTATACACATAAAATCGTTAATTGTTTACAACTTACATATAACGATAATGCCACAGTCTGAATGTCTTGGTAAAATCTGGTTTGAATAATATACTTACTATAATTAATTTATAGTAAGTATATAATTAAATAATATGATTATCTTCACGCACCATCCCTGACGGGGTAGCCAGAGAGAACAGATCGCCAAGTGTCACGATCCTTACATACCTCTTTCGCTTCTTTCAGATTCATTATCTTCTTCATACATGCACGTCTAGGTGTCCGAGTACTCTTGACCCTCCCCTCTTCGAGCAATTTGCTCACATGGTCTTCGAAAGTTAGTCTCGGTCTACCTCGACAGCTTTTAATATTTACTTTCGCGCTATAAATTTTCTTCACCATTCGGTCTTCACTCATTCGCTCAACGTGCCCAAACAGTCGAAGCACGCCATCTTTCAAACCTGCCATATTGCGAATCTCTTCGTTTCGCTTTCGGTCGGCCATGGTAACGTCGCACATTTTACGAAGAGATCGCATCTCCACTGCATCCAACTTACTTTTATGCTTCATCTGGCATACCCAGGTTTCGCTGCCATATAACAAAGTCAGTACCAACACTGCGTTATGTATTGCAAATTGCAAGGCGTGCACTCTTCACTACGCCTTGCCTTTTGACTAACGCAGTCAGGGCACCATTGACTTTGTTCCCGGCAGCGACACGCCTGTCCACATCTAAATCACATCTTCGATCCCGGCTAAAAGCACTCCCCAAGTATACAATTACATTTACCTGTTCTAGACATTCCTGATTTACCTTAGTTTTATTAGCATTCAAACGGAGACCTTTAATTTCACATTCCTCTTTCATACGCGTGACTAATGCCTGCAGTTCTGCCTCTGATGGTGCAATAAGCACTGCATCATCAGCATACAGCAGACAATTTACTTTTATGTCACCCAATTTCACACCCAAACAGCTATCTTTCAGCTTGTGTAAACAGCTGTCGAGATACAGTATGAACAGCCAGGAAGACATGACACATCCCTGTTTTACGCCCGTTTGGACGCTAAACATGGGTGACAGGTCATGCCCTACCCACACACAGGCTTTACAGTCACAGTAAAGTGACTGCACAGCCCTTAGCAATCTACCATCCACACCATACCCCGTCAACAGTGACCACATTTTCTTCCTTACAACCTTATCAAATGCTTTCTCAAGATCCACAAAAGCACAGAAAATCTTCTGGTTAGCGGCCAGAAGCTTCTCCGTGATCATGGAGAGAAAACATTTGATCCGTGCATCCTCTTCCAGGTCTAAATCCGCATTGTGCTTCCCATAGAAATCTTTCCGATTTCTCTTGCATCCTACGTGTCAAAACCTTCGAGTAAATTTTACTTGCTAAGCTGGTCAAGCTGATCGCCCGATAGCACCCGCAAATGTGAAACTTTACCTTTATATAAAGGTACAATGATTGCGGATCGCCAATCATCCGGGACATCCCCCGTCCGCCAGCACATATTGCACAGCAGATGAAAGCTGTCCCAGACGCGAGGCCCACCATACTTGACCATTTCAGCAGTAACTCTGTCTAGTCCCGCAGCCTTACCACATTTTAAACTTCGAATCGCACGTTTATTCTCTTTCATACTGATGACCTCAGTGTTATCGAGGTCCGGGTCTGGCGTACCAGTCACGGCGTCACCCCCGGATCCCTCACTAAGATCACCACACGCATACATTTCTCTATAAAATTCGCTCCATCACTGCATGACGTCCGATTTTTTGAGAGGACGTCATTGGTTCTCGAAAGCACTTTGTTCATTCTTAAGGCCGTGGCATCACTTCGGGTCCTTCCAACCTCTTTCCAGAAGAGTTTGGAGTTCTTCTTAAAGTTGCCTTGCGACAACCTTTCGTCCGCTTCCATTCTACACCTTTCACGCACTTCCTCAATCAATGTTTTCGTATGAACTTTCTGCAGCTTATATCTTTCTTTCATCTTCTCTTTCATATCCTTATCATTACTAGAGGCCAAGTAGTCTAACCATGCTTTCTTCTTCTTCTTTACAGCTTCTTT